CCTGAAATACTGCATTTCTATTTGTGTTAGTGAATCTGTGTGAGTGAGGATTTGACATAGCTGTTTTCTATATACAAAACTTTTCAAGAATGCAAAGAAAGAATTCAGCTTTTTAATATTGTTATCCTGTAAACACATTCTAAACAAAAGGATCTGAGAAGAACATACAAAAAAGGGTGGTTTTCGGTTTTACAGCAAAACCACAAAGAAAAAGAATAGAGGATTTTCAGCATCAATATAAAAACTGTTATTCAACAAGGAGCAAAGATATCCTCAAATGTCAAACTAATATGAAGCTTTTCCTAAAGTTTAAGAAGGAAAGTCCACTGGTAAAGCTGTCATGTGCTGTGATTTAAAAAAAAATACCATCCTTTTTGGGTTGTGATGCCAACTGCACTTGACAGAAAAACTTGCTTATGCAAGATCTGTTTGGAGGATACGGCTAGTGCTTCAAAACATGTCTGTAGGCTGAGCTGCTCAAGCAATGCTTGTGCGAGTTATCACTTTTATTCTTAAAAAAATAATAACAACAACCATTTCAATATCTAAAAGAAAAGATTTTCATCGCTCCTGCCATATAACAATCCCAAACATATTTACACATTACTCACAGAAGTTGAATACTAATATATTCATGTCAGAGCCACGTTTTTACAATATGGTTACTAATGAGATAGAATATTGGAACCAGGACTATATGCATATATTCTGCCGTGAATATATTTTCATACTTTTGCCTAAACAAAGAAACATACATTATTAATGTACTGAGAACATCGAGCACATAATATAATTAACTGTAGATAGTGTTAGAAACACATTAAAGTTTCTTTTGTTATGGTTAACAAACCAAATGAACAACAGTTCTAGAGTATTGCCATCTTAATGCTAATTTTATCATCTACAATACAAAGGTTAACACATTCTGAATTAAAATAACCAGCTGCATTTAATAACGTCAAAGAACAATGTATGCCGACATACTGTTCAATCTTACTGCCGTTCATCAACAAATATAACCGTGTTATAAATGGTTATGCAAATGCTTTAAGAATCATATTACATTCATAATATTCAATTTATGAATTAATTGATTTTATTTTATTTAATCAATGTGATTATTTCTGTACAATGCCTGCACGTTTAATAACGCATTTCCAGTACTTGATTCAATGTGATAATAATTTCTTTTCATTCAGTATAATTTCTGGTGTCATGTTTAAAATATTTTGAGGGATAACAAAGTAAAATAACTGCAATAAAAACTAATTTTCACTCATCTTTATGTCCGTTTACCGAATAATAGGATATAAATCAACATGAATATGAATATTATATCTCTAAATAATAATAAAGTAATACTAACAGTATAAATAAAAAGTAAAAAATAACAATAATTATTTAAATTGAGTAGACTTTACAACTTCAAAAATTTTTTAGTAAACATATACTAAGTGTGAACCTACACTGGTCTCACAGTTCGTTTACGATTATCATGCCATCGATTCAGTTTAATTCGATATCTTAGTGCATCACAGTGCACTGACGATGCTTTCTATAAAGAATTTTACATTTTACCTCACAGCAAAATAATTCTCTCATAAAAATGTATCATTTTTAATAACATTTTATATGTATTTGTATTACAATTTTGTCCGTCAATACAAGCAGTCAGATATATAAACTGTACCTTTCATTTAACCTGCTCAAACTAAAAACTCTTTTTGAATGCATCAAACAAAACTCAAGCACATGCATTAAACAACATGAGCATTTATAACAAAAAAATAAACAGTAATATCGTCCTGCTCGCTTTGAGTGTTGTTGAGCGAGTTGTTAAATGCTTATGATTGGTCATGTACTCAACAGAAAAGGCTGCAATTGGCTCTAATGCTCTGGCACTGTTAAACGGCAGCAGTGATCACAGCTGATTCATGATAGACACGGAGGAGAAAACTCACTCTGCAGACATACTTGTGTCTAGATCCACAAGTATCACTGGGACAGCCGAGAGGAGAGGAAACATTATCTCACAAACATGCCAGAAGGTCAAAGGTCCACAGTGAGAGAAAGAGAGAGAGAAAGAGAGAGAGATAGAGAGAGAGAGAGAGAGAGAGAGAGAGAGAGAGAGAGAGAGAGAGAGAGAGAGAGAGAAATTGAGTTTATTTTCATTTTTCTAGTGAAATAGGGGCTTCTGTTGTAACTTCAGTGTCAGTGAATGAATGTCAGCAAACACACGCAGTTAATTGTGCAGAGTTTCTGCATATTAATTACTCTCGCTTGCCTCCCTCACTATAGTATATAGCGATATAGTGCATATAAGATAAATTATGTCAGTATGTAATAACCGGTTAGGATCTATTACTGAACCAATAATGAATTGTTTGCATCTGCATTGAGGTGCACCGAAAAAACAATTAATTTTGACACCACTATTATACATGCATATGTAACCCCCATAAAATAATGAATGGGTGTAAATAAAACAGATAAAATAGATAAGACAAATAAAAACAGATAAAATAATAAATAAATATACACCTCATCATCATTATTAAAGTGTTAAAGTGTTGATGCTAAAATAAGTATTAAAATAAAATGTATAAAAAATGTTAAAACATGTATATGTGAGTTATAATTCTCTGATTGGGTGTCAGGCTGTCAGCAGTCTTAAGTCAGCAAATGAGAGCGCTGGATGCTCATCTCCGCCCCCTTGTGGTTGTGGATATTACAAAAGCATCGGAAGAGACACACAGCGTGACAGAAAGGAAAACCGAGTGATTATAAAGTAAATATAGCGAAAATACATTAGTTAAAACTTTTAAAACCAATATAATGTTAAAAATATAAGTCTATAGCACGAGGATGGCGAGGGATTGAGTAGATATATGCTGATTTGAGCGCGATGGATGCATTTTGACTCGGTGAGTTCATCATTAGCTTATTGCTAAAATAATAGAAACATATTGAGTGACAACATGTTAAATGTGATAATATTTTATTAGTTTCATGTTTAAGAAGTGATAGAAAGTTGTATCTTTCTGTTTAATGGAAGAATTATCCATTATCACAAGGTTATAAAACCGCATGGTGTTTTATTATTTACTACAGCTCACAGACATCACTGTGGTCACGTGTACCTGATAGGAATTAAAAAAAGAATACATTAGAAGAACAGGTAACTGAAATTAATGTTATTTGTTATGACAATATATGTTTTGTATATGTTTTGATGCTATTTTGTTCTTTATGTATATATTTTTTTATCATATTGTAATACTGAATATTTGCTCTGGTCTGTGAAAACAGGCCAGGTTTTTTTTGTTGCTGGATTTTGGAATTCTTGCGATTCTCGGTTGATGGCGAGCCTCCTAAGTGCAGTTTCAGTGGACCTACAGGAAAGGACTGATTTCTAGGGAAAAAGGACACTTGCTTTTTCTACTATTTCTCTTCACTCAAGTAAGAGGATTTGATCCTTAAGACTGTTTCTCTTTTTTTTCCAAGAGGAGGACATTTTGTGAGTACCCAAAAGACAGTTGAAAGTAAATAATTCATTTATTTTATTTTGATCTTCCTGGATTTGAAACTTGATATATTTGGAAAAATTTTATTTGGTTACATGTAACAAAACAATTTGGAAATTGCTGATTTATTTGAACTCTCATCTATTTGTTAAATTGTGAATTTAACAAAATTTACAGCGTCATATAAAGGGTGCACCCGGGGTATATTTTTAATTAGTGTTTATTTTATTGTTATTTCTTTTGTGTGTGTATATAATACAGAACAACGTTGTGCAACTTACCCTTTCGTCTCTGTGAGTTACTCAGCATCACCACTACCTCCTTTCCCGTTCTTAGTAATCTTCTGATTTTAATTGTTTGGTCCTTTAAGGTTTAATACCCGTTACACATATGTATACAAGGACTAACACTGGCTCATACTGCAGACAGACAAAGGACAATATGAAGGAAAACAAAAAAGAAAAGAGACAACAACCAAAAAAAAAGCACATCATAGTCAAAAAACATACAATCAAAACTAGAGAGAGTATTTAGTTTGCTCTTGAGATATAGATGTCAAATCAAGAAATTGACCCCAGGTAACCAAAAATTTTCTTACGGAGCAAGTCCTTAAAAATCTGAGTCTTTCCATCTGAATGACATATATCGTGACGGAAATCCAGTTCTAGAATGAAAGGGGTAAAGGTGATTTCCAATTAAGCACTAGTCTTTTAACTACGGCCATGCCTTGCATTAAAAACTCTTTCATTGTTTGAGGAAGAGAAAATGTAGTTTTTGAGAAGCCAAATATGGCATGTTTATTACAAAAGCTTATTTTAAGCATTTATAAAACCCCACTAATACTAAATATGTATATCAAGGATTAGTGTGTGACGTGTATCAAATTGTCTATGGCTTGACACCAGAATATGTGTATACTGTGCATGAAATTACTGTTTATTTTAGCGTCAGAGCTAAGCAATGCAAGAATGATTTTCCAAAAGTTCTGCTTGGCCAGCAAACTGTGTCCTAAGATCCTTTGACAAGTGTTGTTCTCCACAGTCTGGTAGTCATGAAGATCTCTGGATTTTGGCCAGGATCAGCCTCCTGTTACTGACAAACTCTCTCCAAACACCAGAACACATTCACAGACTGCAGCATCCAAATATACCAAGCTTTGAAAATGAAACAGATGGAAATAAGAAAGCAAAAAAAAAAAAAAAATGCTCTCACTGACGCCCGTGAAAACAAACATGAAAACTTATTTTTAATTTAAACAGTCATTTAAATAATTGTGAAGGGTTAAACTGTGACTTTAAGCTATCAAAGGTCTTGTCTATCTCCATATAACGGATGCCAGCTAAGAGAAGTGTGAATAAACCTCAAGAGATGCAGAGATTTCATTTGTGTCCATGCTAGCAAATGTTTCCGTGCCAGAAACATCTGTTGAAATCATGCCTGCACAAGTAGAACCAGAAGAGATACATTGGTGGTTCGAGATTTGGGGAGAATGGGGGCTAATGCATGTCAAGAAGGCCATCTAGTATTTACTGTGCCGGTAAACTGTATTCCCCTGGCCTCAAAAACATGCATTAGTGAGTGACTGAAGTGGTATTAGTGACTGAAGTGTGAGGCTGTTTAGTGCACATGTTAATGTGCACACCTTCCATGCCAGATACATCAGGTTACATCCTGCTCTCTGTGGTGCTAGGAGAACTAAAAAAGTTACACTTATGCCATGACCTGGGAATGAGGTGGGGGTAAAAAGAAAGAACTATATAATTAGACCTCAATCACATGACCTTAAAAGGTACTTTAGTGGCTGACATTAAAGGCTTTGGTTTCTACCATCCTTGTTGAAGGGGTTTTGTTATGCTCTTTTCCAAAGAATTTATTATGTTTGGTGGTCGGAGGTTTAGTATAAATGCCTGCATGATTGGTGGTTGGAAAAATGCATTAATTTTCACACCATTTTAAGGCCTTGCGAATAATTGAATTGAAACAACAAAAGTGATGGACCCTTTTCACATTTCCTGGTTTCTCAGTAATAGAAGTCATCATGGTTGGGTAAATTTGCAGAGAGTGAGAAAGCACAACAAATATATATATATATATATATATATATATATATATATATATATATATATATATATATATATATTAGGGATGTAACGGTATTGTAAATACCGTCATACCGCAATATTAATTTTTTTCGATATTACCGAAGTCGCATGACTCGGTAAAACTATAGGTCTTCTGAGAAAATTTGCTCAGGCGAATGAAGCGAACGGGAGATAGCTGAAACTTCATTTCCCATCAGCCCCGGCGTGGCCATAATCCTTTGCGGTCTGTTGTCGCTACAGATCCAGTAATGCGGAAATGGAGTGTGCTGCTAGTAGCGGAGATGAAAAAAAGATGGAAATGATCGAACCTAAAGCGGGTGTTGTCGCCGCGCGCGTGCTGAATAGCGGTGCTGTCGCGCGCGTTCTGATCAGCTGTGTTGTGGCGCGCGTATTGTAAAGCGCCGAGGGGGGGTTGAGCGCGCATACTCAAGAGAGGTGTTATCGCGCGCCTACTGAAGGGCTGGACTGGACGGAGGTTGTGTCGCGTCGCGGGGGCACTTTTGATCGTTTTGGAAGGGCATTTTCTATCCAAGACTAAAAAGGGCATGTGCACTGCACAGGTTGAGCCCTATGTGTGCACGTGCCTGCAAGTTGGGGAATACGACTAATAGCAGTCATGGGGACTGCAGAAACACAGCACACTGTTCAGATTGATGCAGACATTGACTTGTACCGCAAAGAGACCTCTATCTCACTCATGGTTTGTCTTCTCAAGTGGGGGAAAGACAATGCACAACGTCACCCACTGCTGTCAACATGGGCCAAGTCATATCTCTGTCCCAGAAACCTCAGTCCCAAATGAGAGGGTTTTTTTCTGTTGCAGGGGACATTGTAAATACCCAGAGATACCAGCTTTTACCAGATTATAGTTATATGATAATTTTCCTTTAAACCCATCTCTATCTAAGTGAGTGATTAAATGTTAAATGTGATTAGTTTTTAACAATACTAAATTGAAACTTTATTTTTTTACATGGTTTAATAATTTTTTGTTATTAAAATTGAAGTTCCTGTTTCAAAGCTTACAGATAGATGGCTAATTTGTATGTCATTGACACTTTTGGCACTTTTTTGGAGTATTTTCAAAAGTTTTTTTTTCCTGTAAATGATTCAATAAATACCGTACCGTGACATTCATACCGAGGTATTACCGTACCGTGAAATTCTGATACCGTTACATCCCTAATATATATATATATATATATATATATATATATATATATATATATATATATATTTTTTTTTTTTTTTTACAATCCTATTTGCTAAAATAATAAAAGAAAAACTCTATGATTATGTCATCTTGTCTTTCTGAAAAAGAAAAAAAAAATGTGTGAGATTGATAATGTCAGCCAGAAGAGAGAACAACAACACATTTATCAACATAGGCTCATTCTGAAAACAAGTATTTACATTTATACAACAGTTCTGTCTAATTTTTTAATCTTATTGGCTGATAGCTGTGCGATATTCTGCAGATAACAGCACTCGTAGTCTCTTCACCCTTGTGTACTGGTCCACCCACATACAGCGACAAGCAGAGGACACTCTACACTCTACAAGAATGTAGTTGTTTAGATTACAACTTTACAGTTTATTTATAAAGATAGTGCCTATTTTAAATATTTATAATTTCTGAGCATCGGATTCAGTCTGAGCAGATCAAAGAAAGTGATGGTTGACGTTTCGCTGAGAGAATGCATAATATGTGCTATGGGGAGAAAAAAAAAATTCTCAGCTTACGTTTCAATCTACAGCTAACCAAATCATTATAAATCAGGTAAGTGACATTCTAAGTGGATCTCTTTTTTTGTATGTTGTAGTGAAACTGGTAGTGTTTGCCTTGCATTGGTTTTTAGGGGTTAATTATTGTGATATCCCAATTGCAACAGAGAAAAACTGGGAAATCTCTGCAGACTGATGGCATTTCTTGCCGTTCAGCCATATAATTCTAAAATGTGAGCAAAATCACCTGTTTTGTCTCCACTTTAGACATTACACTAGAGAATCATTGAAATACTAGCTCTAAAGTGACGTTTGTGAACAGGCAACAATTTCTGTTGTTCTCACTCGTTGCAGTGCGATATGGCTGTATTTCGGCAAAGGTGGGGGGCATAAAGGCACTCGTCTTGTGGCCTTGAGCCAACACACATATTTCACAGTCTCCAGAAATGTGTATAGCAGTATTTTTTCAGACTGAGCTTGGGTTGAAAATTAACATCATGATACATTCACAAATGGTAACTTTTTTTCTTTTTGTAATTTGATGCGAAGATAATATAATACATAAATACATAGAAATTTTTCTACATTTGAAATAAAAAAATGTAAACATTAAAAACGTTCAAGAATTTAATATGTTGATCACTGTTATATGCATCTTGCGAAAAGACTCCATTAAGCAAAGCTCCAATTGTCATGCACATCTTTTCTGGAAAGTACAGTGTGATCGGTAGTAAATCTCCACTGAGGGCCAGATGGCTCTCTCGTGGAAACTTAAAAACCCCTCAAAAAATACATGCAGAAACCCAGGCAATACTCTGAGGGATTAGTAGTTGCTGAATAAACAGAAGATTGAACTGCTTTCATTGTTTCAGCATAACCAATAAACAATATGGAATGATCTCACAGTTTTTTTTTTTCCCAGACACTTCACTGAGTTATGAGGTGTGTTTTGGAGTAAATAGTATACATTAAATGAAAAATTATAATATTATACATGAGCAATTCCATTCAAAATATCAGCCTTGCCATGAAAAATACATAACACCTTTCTACGTTTTTTTTTTTTTGTTGTTGTTTTCGTCCAGGCTTCTCTTTTACAGCACTTACAGTTTTACAAATGTCTCTGCAAATGTTTTCAAACATTTATATTTGATTTATTAAATAAAAAACTGCCAATTTGACAGTCAAAACCACAGACATGTCACATCCGTAATGAGACTTTTTCCTTAAATCAAAAAATCTAAAAAATTTAAATAAATAATCAATATTTTTTATAAATAATCAATATTTTTTTTTCTATAGAAAGTCAACTCTTATCCTTTTCATTAGCATCATTCATTTTGGGTTGTGCAAGTTTAATTCACATAATTTCTACAAAGCATGTTGTATACTGTAAACTTGCTAACTTTTGGTCACATCCATAACGCATGTATATTTTCCTCGTTTAAAATAT